ACATCCCTCGACGAGATTGATTAACGCGCAAAGGCTTCATCTTTCATCTTTTATCCCAAGAGTACGTTGATCTATTATACTCTAAACCGAATTCTTGTAGAGGGACCCTGGCACAATGCCAAAAAGAATCAGTCCCTCCCATATCCAGTGATGCCATTTAACCTCCACCGGTAGACCACCCGTGTTGCTTATTCCTATCAGTCAACAGTTTTATTTATGTTTTCAAAAGCCTATCAATTCTGCCACAAGCGTCACGATCAATCTTTATCAGTGAAAGGAGCACAGATATCATCAATTATTCCATAGAGCAAATACTGTAGACCAATTTTTCGACTGGTTAATCATCATATCAAACTAGTGCCAGTCAAAAAACTATAGAGGACGAAGCACGCTATCATGAAAAAGCGAGAAGAAATCACGAGCGGGAGAAGAGTACATGTTGGAAGCAAGTATGGACAATACGATCAGAAACCATGGACTTTACAGTTTTCCTCCTTCACAATGCCAACCTGTAAATATAAACAACTAAATTCACAATCACAAGGCATTTGAAATCAAGTTAAACCAAACTCACATTGACAAGAAAATCTTTAATTTGTTGTCTTTGGTCTCCACTCAGCTGCATTACCTCTCCATACTCAGGATGTTCAACGATTGTTCCATTACAACTGTATTTCTGAAAAATGAAAAGTTACTATTATTTGCACCAATAGTACTAAAGATCTAGCTCTAAAGTCTTTCTATTGGAAGATGGGAAATATGTGTAATTTTGGAGGGAACATTGTAAAGTACCCATTGCCACCTCGTTTCGAATTGGCCCTGGCACATCGGATCTAAATTGGACCGCCCCTTTCCTGCAGTGGANCATTACCTCTCCATACTCAGGATGTTCAACGATTGTTCCATTACAACTGTATTTCTGAAAAAAGAAAAGTTACTATTACTTGCACCAATACTTCTAAAGATCTAGCTCTAATGTCTTTCTATTGGAAGATGGGAAATATGGGAAATTTTGGAGGATACATTGTATCCTCGTTTCGAGTTGGCCCTGGCACATCGGATCTAAATTGGACCGCCCCTTTCCTGCAGTGGATCGATATCTATAGCTTGACTGTGGCGCCTGCTGGACGTGGCTGAGGCAAATGCACGCAGGCAGCATGCCAACGCAGACTATGGACGCAACCAATGGTAATCTGTTACCAGTACGAAAAGCCGCTTGGCACTACAACTCAGAAGACCACGTTAAGGCAACAACTGCATTGGGGCAGTGATTCGAGTAAGCAGGATTTTTTCAGAAAGTTACTTTTCTAATGCCTACGATCACTTTAATAGAAAAGGCTTAACACAATATTACGCATCGACTAGTTCGAGCTTGAAAGCATGCTCACGCTCAAAAGCGAAGATGATGAAACTTTCAGACTTCACAACGCCCATTGAAAACGCAGCGTTGCCAGACACACGTCGACAACACTAGACACCGATCGATACCGCAAGACAGCGTTCACGCTCACGCGGCCCTGATCGCAATTTGTCCTGTGTTGTCAAAGTGTGTACGCATCGCCGCATTTTCAACGCACGTCTTTGATGTCAAAAGTACCCAGTAGGCCCACGCCTCGTCTTTTTTGGAAATATTAGCAATGAAACTCGCTTCTGGTTACCAGAAATCTGTCCTGATATGTCTGCAACTCCTACAGATTACTAACTTTATTGGTAAAACTAAAAAACCAAGGATAAAACGAGGAGATTCGAAGTAAGCATAGAGTGGATGAAAATACGACAAAAGTGGTGATAACGAAAAATGATCAGTTCTTACATAAAACTACGATATAGTGGTCCTCCCTATCGGAACAAAGGAAATCAGCATGAAAAACTCGATCGCATACTGCATACCGAAGAAGAGTCATAGTCGGTACCAGGCGCATAAACATCTTTTCATACATAAGAATATGAGAATACGATCGGATTTCGTCCCAATGACGATCTAGCCACATTTCTGGATCTTCGTGGAATTGATCCGCCTCGTTGCTTCCACGTTCAACGCCAACATCAGGGGTGCAGTCCAACATCCGAATAGAGTGGATCTCGTTGTGGAAATAGCTCTGTCCAGGAATGGAGTAGCATGGCATAAGGGCCGCCACGGAGACGTTCGCTCCTTTTCGACTCATTGACAGCACAGCATCAGACGCATTATAAGGGCCAACCTGATGGCGGAGGCCGCAATAGAGAGCAAGTCCGGCATTTAAAATTATCATTAAGAAAAGCAGGAAGTGCCTGGCCTTGGACCTTCTGAAGGCAAAAAATGGGCCTGCATAGAGACAAAGAAGAGGAATTACCGGTAAAAGGAACCGCTGCTCTTTGTGAGGCAGGAATGAATGGAAAACAATGTAAAAAGCAGAAGCCATGAAGGGCAGCAGTGTTGGTCGAAATGGGCTGAAAAGGCCAAGCGCAATAGGAATCAACTGCACTGTGAGAACAGAGGTCAGCCCTTCAGTCAAATACCAAAACCACGGATGAACACCAAAATTAGCGCTACCACCTTGAAGTACATTAAAAAGAAGGAAATTCCACAATGTGGAGGTTGGTCGCCCATAACATAAAGAGTCAAAAGCAGCCGAAAGCAGAAGTAAGGGAACTGCAGCCGGAATTACGGTACACAGAAGGAGACGGATCGGCCTGGGATGTCGCCAAAGATGGTAAAGTCCAAAAACTACCCAAATTAAAGCTGCCGTAGGCCGCATAATGATAGTCAGGGTGCCAATGAATACATACGGCCATACCACATCACGAAGGTGCTTGTTTTCAAATGGATACCACAAAAGCCCTATCAGAGTAAGTGAAGTTTCCAGTGAATTGGAAAGAGTACGAGGAGCACAATATATGACGAACCACGACGAAAGGTAAGCCAGGAACGCAAAGAAGGAAGCATCTTTTGTAAGTAACAATCGACGCGATAATTTGTAAAAAGAAATATCACCCAATGAAAACAATACGGCATGAAATATGCGAGGTGCGTTCACAATAACATTTTGAGAATCGAAACCAAATTTCTGAAGCAATTTGAAAATGATAGCAAAAATTGCAGGATGAAGTGGAGAACGTAGGCCATATTTCCACTCCCAGCTCAAGTGTCCAGTGCCGTAAACAGCCCGATGGGCTACTTCAGACGACTGATACACCTCGTCCGGTACAAACCAGCTCTGTATGAAGATCACACCAAGCAGACGAAAAACCAAAAGTAAAAGCCAGATTTGAAGGCAGCGCATCATGATTTCACTGAAATAGACCAGTGATAAGGGTGAGGAAAACGCTGCGATCAGTCCTCACCCCTACGTCCTGGTCTATTGGTTACCAAGAGTTTTAGCAAAACACAACGACGACACAAACACAAAGACAAGACGACGAGTTAGGACTGACCTTAACGCAAGAAACTGTTACTGAATAATTATGTGGGGATTACAAATTACAGTGATGCATTCATGTTCTTTGAAAGGGAATTGTTAGTAAACGATAACTTCAAAGGCAAAAAACTTCCATTTTGATAAATTGGTAATCTTTGACCTTCACTTATTTGGAAGAGTAAAATGTGTCGAAACTAACCTTCTTTAGAAATCTGACGATTCTCTTCAAATCGTACTCGGTACCAACACCCTGAACAGTTGTGATAGTCTTCCTTCCGGTACGTTGCTGAATTCGAATGTGGCAGAAGCCCTGACGCGCACCGTGCTCGTCTTCAAGCTGCTCGAATGCGTCTGGAACAAAAATAAGTGTATATCGATTTACTTCGAAATTGTTATAGCTGTAAAAACCCCAAAATCATTTTCCGAACCTGAGTAACCTTCTAATACCGACACGGCCAGAAATTAAAGCTTCTTAAGTCTAGCATCCAACAAACAGTATACTTGTGTTACCACTAGGCTTCGAAAGCTATCAGATAAGGTAAAGAAAGATCTTTTCCAATTAAAGTATCCCGCGACCACCCATTACGACTAGAATCTCACGCACACACAAATTTCCGTAAAACTGTATTCATAGCAACCAAATCAGCGTGAGAGAATGCTAACGATCTTAACTGTACCTGACTATCAACCATCTCCGCCAAGTCCCCACAACCTTGATTTTCAAGTTGTTTTTAGGATTCTTAGAAGTTACTATAGTATGCAAATCAAAATAGCTCATTGTATCGGATCAGGCTTTCTTTCTGTTTTCAACAAGATTCAATATTACATCAGAGGAACAGGAAAATGAATTGATCCACCATCCACAGAGGGTGAAGGGAACTATTTGATTTTAATGCTAGACTACCACCACCAACGTATAAAGACTGTTAATTACTGGTCGATTACGCGAAGAGCCGGCACAGTACAAACCTTTCGGCTTATTCAAATTGGTGATATTCGCCATAAACAGTAAGAACTTTCTTGTGAGTTTAGAACCTGAAATATAGTAGCTTAATTGATTTATAAGTATTCAAGGAAGATTGAAGCAAAAAAAGAGAAAAGAGAGGAATAAGCTGAAAGGCTAGGAAATTTCTGAAAAACTTCTTAGGAGTCAGAGTCTTTACGAAGGAAAAGGACCTAGCTCACTCAGAAATAGGAAATGGAAAAGCAAAACTGCCAAAGCGAAACCTATAGCAAAATTACGCAAATGAACGTGACTTCAACTTTACAATACTTCTAACAACGCTAAACTGCAAATGCCGACTTTGTAGTTTGACATCACAATAAAGCTCGTCCAATTGTGAAAAATTCAGTAAAGCTCGTCCAGTTGTAAAAAAAAAAACATGGAAAAGACAAGCATTGGGTAGGAATCTATAAGGAGCATTGGTTAGGAATCTGAGCAAATCTATCAGACCAGCTCGATCAAAGGTTTACAACAGGAGAGCATTTAACATGGTCTAGAGAACCTAAACAACATAACCAGACAAGCCCTACATGTGAGCGGTTGCGTCGCGGGTTCGCTCTATAGCGCGTTATTCTAGGGTGTCTAATTATAAGCACTGCGGGAAGATCTTGACGACAGGAGATCCTCTTTCGTGACTCTGCTTATTGGCGGTTGCGTAGGGCATTCGAGCACAATATTCTAAGTTGATTGCTGATTGTAAAAAGTAACTTTCTACGATCAATGAGTTGTTAAACCATAGTTTGGTAATATATGTCTCTTTTCCTGCATGTTTCC